ATATTCCATGCATTTTCTGTCTAAAAATAGAACTTCTAAACTATTTTAAAGTACAAAAATGCAGTAAACACCACACAAGAAGTTCCATAACAATTGATATACCTCAACCTGCAGGCAGTACGTAACCCAAAAACAATCCAATGTGTAGAGCTCACCTTCATCATTAGTTAGGAAACCCCTTGTTTTAAAGGCTGACACCGATTATCTGTAAAAAGTAATATTATGACTGAGCATAAGCTGTACAAAAGCAGTAAATAAAGGTTTTTTTCCGAAATGTCAGTTTGGATGCGATCGACAGCGTTAAATTAAAAAATCGCTTTGGCCCTCCAAACCAATTTTTATGCCCACACCTGGTAAAGAAGTTCAGAATGCATCTCAGAATTACAAACAAAAAACTTGAAAAGTGGGGGACGCAATACAGATATGTACACTTGCTTCTTTCTGTTAACAATAATTTGTTTGCATAAACATATATTTAGAGTTACAAAATAAGGAGATGCTACAGGAAAATTAACGTGAATTCTGGTTATTAAATATTGATATGAATTACGAGTACTATGATAAGGAACTGAGCAAGGCATGACCTGTACTTGTGAGGACAGAAGCAGTGTAGTAAAGGAGGGTGAAGCAGTGAGGAGAGGGATATGATATTGAGATAAGCAAAAATAGGGAATATTAATGACTAGCATACACACACTGAAAAATCCACTAAACATTCTACATTCTACACACTAACATTTACAAGTACTTGCCAGAAAATACTGTAAAAGTAACATAATACAAATCTAAAGTGACATTTGAAAAAGAAACCTACACTGTTGTATTCTGACTCATCGCCTGTTCAACGAAAAAAGAAGCAAAGATTTTGAGACTCCCCAGACAGAACTACATGAGTGAAACATCTGCAAACATGCAGTAGTTTATATACAAAACATTCAACAAAGCCACTTCACATCAATAGTGGTTTTGAATAGCTGTGTTAAGATGATTGCCTTTCAATCCTAGGGTCCTTGGTTCAATTCTTGTCACAGCATTTCATTTTTTCACGACTAAAAACAACTCCACTCCCTAGCCCTCAATAAGAGACTTGGTTTATAAAGCATTGTCCCATCCTGTATGTGGTGAGTGTACTTGCTGTTGGATAAGAAGGAAATTTAAAAAAAATATCTGAACTCCAAATCACTTTGCTAGGATACAAGGATATTCTTTACTTTATCATAGCTCTCTGTAACCATACTTATAATTAATCAAATATAAATTACTTTTTTGGCACCATCATTTTATGAATATAATTCCAGATCATGAGCATAAGTTAACAAATGTTTTAAATTTTTTTTTAAATAAATCAAAGAACCAAACAGAAATTATGTAGCACTGTCATTTTAAGTTCATAAGCCTACATCATATTGTTTGTACAGTTTAAAAATCTATGGTTTGCTGTTTTTGTACAGCTCCATCAGCTGATGAATACTATCGTAACAAATACAAAGAAAGAAATGCATGGGTTATATCACAAGGATTTATGAAAAAATAAGGCAACATGTAATGACAGCAGTACATTAAATTATACTATGTTGTATTGTTTTGTATATATAGAATGATTCATTAATGATGTCATTGATAATTATCATTGATGATGTAATTGTGAGTGAAACAGCCTGTCAAAGCCAGCTTCATTGGTTCGATCCTGGCAAATCCAAGCATTTCACTCAAAACTAAAATCCTTTAAATCTTTATGAGACACCTGATGACAGTAGTACCAAGTTGTAAAAGTCAAATTCTTGGAAATTTTGTTGCGCATGACAGGCAGAGGTTTGTGACGCATACTAGCTAAAATGCATGTACAAGGACACGCGGGTACAAATTTATTGCCTTGTTCAATATTTAAAAAAAACAGGCTTGGGCAGGTTTAGGTCACTGTTAATACGATATTGCTGTCTAAAATGTCAATAAATCTTATTTAATGCATAAGAATGGGAAAATTTAGCTTAGTATAAGCTCTAATTGTGAAAATCTGTTAAAAATCCTGAAGAAACACAAGTGAAATTCAAATTCTGGGAGAAAATGTGGAGTTTACAGGAGACCAGGAGATGAACCAAAATTGCTGGAGACTCCAGGGCAATCCAGGAGACTGGGAAGCCCTGAGATGACATCATCAGTGTGTATACAGTACATTTTAGCGGTCAATGTATGCAATATAAACAAGAATACAAAAAACATCTACATGTATTGTCTATTTCATTGGTAAGTTCTTTGTTGGGAATCAACTAAATTATTATCAATTATCTCGATTCAATTAAACTATCAACCTATCTAATGCCAATTTTAACTGCTTCTCGATGCAAATATCCAAAAATTATTATGGGTGCGGTAAAAATATGAGCACAAGTGATTTAGTTATCTGTTCATGTCAATTTAACAATGCTTGACGCTAAGCAAAGCAAAACAGGAAATACTAGCAGTGTACTGGGCCTCCTCATTTATCATTTTAAATATCAAACAGAAAACACTTCACAGGCCTAGGCTCAGTAAATACTAATTCAATTACTGGTGCTTCGCTTCACTCCGGCAGTAACCCCTTCAGGCCAGGCTACTTGCCTTTTCAGCATTTCCCGTGAATGATAAGCTATGTTACTCTTCCTTTAAAGCGGGTTCTAGCTCACGCCATTTCTCATAGTCATAAGGCTACACAGAAAACTCTCTAAATATAAAGGATATGTCTCAGGCACAACCAATCATAGAATGGTGTTACAAGGATGTTTACATTATAACAATAACAGGCATGAATTGATGTAAATACAATATATAATGAGAATACCTCTTTAATTTATTGAGATACATTTTCACTTCTTTCAAATCAGTTTCATCAAGTCATGCGTATGTTAATGAAATTACGGGTACTTGGATAGTTTTGACATGAAGTACAGGAAAGGCAACAGTGAGTGGGCACAATAACCGAAAGAGTTATTAGTATATTTCAAATGTAAGATAATATTTTATGCATTCACAAAAAGATGCAACATATTTTTTCCAGACCACTGATTAACATCTGTTTAACAACAGATTTCTCAGATTAAATAAAACAAACATTGTTACAAGCAAAACAGGTTGTACAAAATACTGTCTTTCAAGAGAAGTTTGGAAATCTCAAATAAGCACTGCACTGAAGCCACCTAAATTTCTTCAAGCGCTGCTATTCATTTACAGTACTTGTACATACCTACTCATACATATTGTACAACCACACTCATATTGGATTGGATTTATTCGGTGTAAACACCAAGGATAGCCCACGAAAGTCTAGAAGACTTATTTCCAGTGGGGTCCTTCTGGTGGTGATTGGGCAGAACACCGGGAGACAATCCCCTACTCTTTTCTGAAGAGTGTACTGCGTTATTTAACGTGCACATGGGCCATAATGCACACGGGACCAACGGCTTAAACATCTCATCCGAAAGACGGTGCGCTATTGTAACTTGTATTTCAGCCCTCTAGATAAACACAAGGAGAGGCAGCAATGGGAATTGAACCGGGGACCTAGAGATCTCCACGTTTCAGCGCACACACAGTGGCTACCACCAGATAGCCGTCTGAGCTAGCTGCTCTCTCGGTTGCTCTCCTTTTAATTATATACATATTCAGCATCCACATGAGTATGCATACATGTATAATTATCTACTGATGAATATTTATATTAGAATAATCGCTTCATTTCAATTTTGTCATGAGTTAGGTTTTTTAATTCCACTTTCAAATTCAACATGTTTCATGACAGATATTAGCCATGCATTTTGAAATCACTTTAATCAGCTGAGTTTTGTTTACAAAAAATCACGTACTGTCTCTAGCTGCTGTCTGCTCAGCAACCAATCTGGCAATTCAACACACATTTAACTGCCAAAAAACTTTCTTTGTGGGATCTCATTGGTCAGTTGAACCTAAAGACATTAAAGCTTAATTAATGTTAGTCATTGATTTTGATTATATCATCTAAGATCTGAATATATCATTGGGAATAAAAGTTATAAACGTGAACAAATGATTACATTAAATATCTCTGCATCTATCAAATCTACCAAATAGTATCCAGTAAAATAAGAAACAAAAAATGGATGCCTGCACTTGAACATATCTCCATTATCAATCTGAAATCTGAGTACAGTATATGAACAAACTACTTGTAGAAACACTCAAAATTGTTATGAATCAATCATTTGTGTGTAAATTTATTTATTTTATTTATTTATTTATTTAACATGATTACAATTTTGTCTTGAACTGAGAGAAAAAGATTAATATTTATTTTAGATTTGATGTACTGCATACCACAGTATTTCCAAAGTTGTGGAAAGTTTTCTTCATTGTAATCTCGCACTCCTGCGAGAAAGAGACATTTTCCTGGTAACAGCTCCTGCAAATTGATGATGTTTGCATGTTTTTAATACTGTACTTGCATTATGTATTGTCGAGTGCTCTATTGCTGACTAACTGTTAATGTCCTTACTGAATTTTAAATAGTTTTGTGAATAATGTATTACAAAATCAATACGAAAAATTATGATAATTTCATCTCTGTATGGATCAAAAAGTGGGTAAATTGTAATATAATTCATAATATTTGTATTATATTTAATACATCACTGTATTTGTAAAGGTAAAATTTGCTTTGGAAATATTATTAATCTTTATTGAAAAAATTCATCTGGCTTCAATATGTTAAATATTGGTTGTTTATTTCTTTTTAGATGATCCATTTAATATTTATACAAAATATTAATAAAAATGTAGTCACACAACGTTTCGCTGTAATTACATCACAGTTCACTTGAGAATGATGATAGAGTATCAGCGAAACATTGTGCGAGTACATTTTTCTTAATATTTTTTATAAATATTAATTGGATCATCAAAAAAGAAATAAACAACCCAATAACTATATTAATCTTTGTTATCAATCAATTAACATATTTTATGACACAAAAGAAATTCCAGAAAAAGTATACAGTTCAAAACCTTTTATTCAAGCATAATCTTAATATAGGCCAGTGTCTACAAAATATTAGCATTTAGCACTAAAAAAATGGTAAACATAACACAGATTCTGAATAAGCGGTGCATCTAGGACACAATGGGAACAAGCTTCTGAAAATAGCTAAATATATCCAAATTTTAAGAATGCTGTAGCCCTCTTGTACGTCACCAACAGTATATGCATCCTTCTTGGTTTCAAGTACTGTCCCTTTCTCTATAAGGGTCCTCCCCTGGATCAACCCTTGTGAAGCAAAAATGCGTACAATTAATTCAAAATGTATATATAAGCCAAACTGATGGTATTCACATACATGCTCTAGTATTTACTTAAATATTTTCAGCTTCTATATTAGCATCAGAAACCGCATGATTAGAGATTACAAATGTTTCATGAGAAAGTTTACTGGGATAGCTAGAACAAGAAGCAGCTTTAACTTCTCAAAACATCTTTTTATTTAAGCACAGGCTATTATTCAAAGAACAGTAATAGTATACCACATAATGTATAATATTAGGCACCTAATTGGTCAAAAATTCAGGTATAATTATATTAATTTTAACAATTGCAACCATAATTGCAGATTTTAAATACCACCAGAATGCCAAAACAAAACATTATGCCTTGAAAGAAGAGTCTAATCCCGGCTGAATTACAAGAGAGTTACAAAGATCTTGTGTATAAAGCAGACAGTGAGAATTTAAGGATCTAAACTTAATGAACTAAAGCACAGCCCGACAGCAATTTTGTTGCAGTTAATTACAACCCTATGTGTGCGGCCTGTCTACCACCTTTGGATAGAAAACCCCTTGCATGAAAGCAGTGCATGAAGGTTTCTTTTTGGAAATGTCAAAATTTGGGTGTGGCCTTCACTTTGGCCCTCCAACCTCAATTGTATTCCCATTCCTGATCTAAAAGTAAACTATTTCAATATACAGCAAAGGCATTTTTGGGTTATGGTTAAAACTATAGTCTCAAATTGTCTATACACTAGCAGCCATACCATTCCACATAATGGAATCAGTGTTAAAGCATAGGAAGAGGAAATGAACAAGGCCCAATGATAATGTGTGAAATAAATGACGAGGTAAGGCAGTTAAGTATGATTGTTCAAATTTGAGGTCAACCTCATTCTAGCATTATCTATTATATTTGTGAATTTTAGGTTTTGGAATTCACATAATTCTTTGTTAGCTAGTGCAGAAATTGCAGTGTATTTCACTTAAATCATCTTGAAAACCTGACTATTTGCAGCCAGTACCTTTTGTAGCATTTGCAACATCTTGACAATGTTCCAAAGTTCAATTCAGAAGTGATTTAAAGAAGTTCACTGGTGTTTCAAGCAGAATTATTTAAACTCAAGGATATGTCTTACAGCAACAACACTCTGATGAAGCAATGCATTTTCCAATACTAAGTGTCACTCACTGTGTCTTTCTACAATTTTGTCACAACTATATATCAAGTGATATCGGTCTCCGAATGAGTCTATTATTTCAAGTACTGTCACTTTCTCTATAAGGGTCCTCCCCTGGATCAACCCTTGTGAAGCAAAAATGCGTACAATTAATTCAAAATGTATATACTGTATAAGCCAAACCGACGGTGTTCACATACATGCTCTAGTATTTACTTAAATATTTTCAGTATCTATATTAGTATCAGAAACTGCATGATTAGAGATATCAAATGTTTCATGAGAAAGTTTACTGGGATAGCTAGAACAAGAAGCAGCTTAAACTTCTCAAAACCTCTTTTTATTTAAGCACAGGCTATTATTCAAAGAACAGTAATTGTATACCACATATTTAAACTTGGGAATTCCCCTTCATGGCTATTCTAAACAACAGAGATGCGGTGTTGTCTGGGCCTGCTGAGACAAGCTAAAACCATGTGCTCTGCACTGGGCGAGCTAATAAAGTGCTCATATGCAAAATTATGCCTACCCAGCTTAGTACACTTCTTGTAGAAAATTTCATCAGACAAGTTTTTCACATGATAAGTAAGGTAAGTAGAAAAGAACTTATTTTGAGCACTACCAGTAGTTGTTCATCTTGTTCAGTCCATGTGGTTTTAGATTATAACAGCGTGTTAATTAGACACAATCAATGCTGCTGTTGAATGCAAATACTTTGGATATAGTTTGTTTATTTTTATATTATTGAAATAGTAAACAGACAGAAACTAAACAATCTTTTTTGACATTATGGTGGCCCTGAAAAGGCCAGTTTGTTTTAAGTATTTAGGTGTTTTTGATGACGTCATCGTCCGTACGAGGAATACTGTAAGTAGAACAAGGTTCTACTGTACTTTATATTTTCAGAAATAACATAAATAGAAAAGTGGTTATGATAGTGAACAATAAAAACTCTTTGATTGTAAACAAATATCTAATTGTGAATTTTTTATTGTTTTGTTTTCATTAGATTAAGATTTAGAAAAACAATTTCCAGTCTACGTAATTAATTTTTGTATCATGCAACTTCAATAACAATATCACCAATGTAAACTTCTACTTATTTTTGTCATATTTTAAAATTTAAAGCCGGCAATCACTTTATAACTGTGTCGTACGACTGTCGACCGACAAATCGAACTCCACTGCCTGTTAACGCTAGATGACGCAACGGTGTCTGCGGATTATCGGCAGTCTAAACGGATCGTCATTAAAAACAATCCGTTTGTTAGCGCGTCATGGCATGGCATTCTCGTCGGGCACAGTCAGTTCCTAGCTTAATAGATTACAAATTTGAAGTCCCACCCCTGTGACCTGATGCCATTCCTCAACTGAAAGTGCACAGATACATGTCATTAAGAAAACAAATGAAATGAATTGTTAGTCAAAAATTCAAATGAATTTAAAACAGGTTATAGGCAAACATGATGATTGGTTTGAATGGTTTGAAAGGCTTGCCTTGATTGGTGTGGGTTTTCAGAAACACAGCCCTGATTGGTGGATTTTGGCAGACTGGTAGCTTTGAAAGTCTTGCTATGATTGCCGACTTTGAACAGCTGGTAATGACCAGTGGCTTCAAAATGATTGCTCTGCTAATCTTATTAAAAACTTGGCCTGATGGGTAACTTAAAAAAAGAAACTAGTCCTGCTGGTGACTATTTAATATTTGTCCTAACTAGCTTGTTCCAATGCTTCCACAACCAGTGTATGTTTCAAGTGAAGATCAAAGCACTCTATCTCCAGCCAGTAAATGAAGGTCTGCAAAGAGAAAAATAATCTGTACTTAAAACATAAAACTCTGGTAACACTATCAAAATTTCTTTGACAAAAAACTGCTATATGTCTATATATGGTCATGATGTGATGTCATCATGACCATATTTAGGAATTTCACATGTTTTTGTCAAATAAACTTTAAAAGTCTAGACATGGCTTAAAGTATAGCATATAATTTGCTAAGAAATAATATATTTTCACCTTTTTATAATACCAGTTTGAAATAATGTTGTTTTGTATTGTAACTGTACTACTTACGATTTTGTAGGTGTGTTGTTTCCAAAAGGACCGCTACTGTTAGAAAATGCTTGTCCGCCTGCACCACCAAATGGACTAGAAGCAGCTCCAAATGTATCTTAGGATGCAAGAATAAATTTTGGATGTAAAACAATAAACAAAATTAAAAGTATAGAATAGCAGTCTCAGCATTTGACAGATGAAAATGTTTATTTAGAAATAAGGCACATACTTGCACCACCAAAAACTGAGCCTTGATTTTGCTGACCAAAACCAGTGCCAAAAGCAGAAGGTTGTTCACTGCCCATAGATGCAAAGCCTGCACTTCCTTGGTTCGCAATGTTTCCAAATCCAGGTGTGTCATTGTGCGCAAATCTAAAAGTTCCAAAGTTAAAAAGTATATTTATTTATCTAAAAGAACAAGTAGTATTCTTAGACTAGTACCATGAATAATTATATTGATTTGTCAAATAACGAGTACATCTATCCAGGCTTTTTATAATCTTATGTTTTAAGCGTGTTGAATATATATGGTAGAACATCCAATTTGGGCTACCCCTATTAAGGGGACACATTTGGTTGGAAATTTTGAGAGAAAATATATCTTTTAACATTACAGGAAACTTCTATTAAGGGGACACCTCTATGCGGACAACTTAATGGGTTCTACTTAAAGCCGGGCATTCACTGCGTCCGACGGTCGTCTCTATTTTATGAAGAAAGCAACGCGCCGAGGCGCGTGCAACAGAGTGTTTTTAACGGCGATCCGTTCACACTAGCACCGACAATAAGTAAACGACGTCGCGTTATCTAGCGCTCACAGAGAGCGGAGTTGGATTCATTGGCAACAGTCGTACAACGCAGTGACTAACCGGCTTTAGTTTTTTAGAAACATTACAGCAATTTACATAGTGATTTTCAGAGACTTTCTTGCATCAGTGTTATTAAAAAAATTATATATATATTTTTTTTAAAATAAATGTAATTGTTAAGAATGGTAGTTGTTAAGTTCATTTAAACAATACAACTTACGCACTAAATCCTGCACCGGTTGAGGTACTCCCTCCAAATGATCCTAATGGGCTTGAAAATGTAGGGGTACTTCCGAACCCAGTGCCACCAAAGCTTTGGCTAGCACCAAACATAGGGGGGCTTCCAAACCCACCAGCAGGGTTACTTGCAGCTGAATGGATCAAAGAAGAATATTTAATGAATTATGACCATCTGTTCCAAAGTTGTTAACATCATTACCATCACTATTAATGTTTCATCAACACTAACAAAAATATTATGAGCATAAACTCTTCACATTAATTATCATCATTATCAAGATTCATCATTATCAACAATTTCATCAACATAATTATTACAGCAGTAGCAGTAGTAGAGGTGATGGTAGTACTGTATATTCTACATAGGTTATTGGAGCAACAGCAGTGGGTCTTAATATTGTAATATTATCCACCACAACAACTTTCTTACTAATCCATTGGCTTAATGTACAGATATAATAATATATAAATTGTGGCTACTTTTCATCATCGATGATGCCAATATTTGGTCTCCTGCTACATACAGTAGATACTGAAACAAAAAATACTGTAGTCCATTCAATACACTCACCTGTTGTCTTTCCAAATCCAAACCCACCAGAATTACTACTGAATGGCCCTGGTGTACTGAATGCTGGAGATAGAAAAGTTTATCAACATAAATGAATGAAATCACAATTCAGTAATAGGATGAAGGTACAATGCAGCCTCGTAGTATGGGAGGGGGAGGGGGAGTGGTGGTTAACGGAGTTACAACGAAGCACCCAAAAACTGGAGAAGGTCCACATTTTATAAAACGAAAAACTGATATTCGTAGATATATTTAAAATGTTCTCCAGAGTATCGGAGACCATACAAGCCAAAGGGTCCACTTTCCACTGAAACGAACCTCCCACAAATTAAGTCACGCTATGGGCCTGCAATGCTGCAGATAGAAGAATAGTATATCAATATAAATGAAGATGAAATGTTGGAAGAAATGAATGAAATGTCAATGGTAATGATGGTGAAAAAACTGATTATGATAACAATGATGTAATGATGTTGAAAGGATGATACCAATAATGACAACAACGATAATATGGAATATATGACTTAGTCATGTTTTGAAGGAATGATGTTGATTATGAAAACAACCACATTGATGATGATAAAAATGATGACGTTGATGATGAGTACTATGTGACTTGATATAGATGATCTTCATTATCACAACAGAATCAGTGCGTGTTAAGTTTAAAGAATACCTCCTGCTTCATCAGTGCCCCCAAACTTTTTCTGGGTTTGACCTCCAAACAAAGATGGACCTTGAAATTAAAAAAAAAAAACCACAAAATTAAAATAAAAGATTAGAAGTGGGACTATACAGAAGGACCATATCTGGAGCAGCATTTGGTGGAATAACTAATAATTGAAAAGGAGGTTTTGAAAGTTTTTGTTAGCCATGATCTACTCAGTTTATTCAAAGACTTATTTCTGGACATATATACCAAGTATCCTAATCTGTAGCTGTCAAGTTAAGCTTGGCACATGTGACCAGGAATAAGCCTTTGAATAAACTGAATGTGCCGTATATTAATAAAGTAACAATATGCTACAATGAGGTGTAACTTTACACTGGCCAAATCATACTGCTGTTCCCACTAGAGTTTAAACAAGCAGTGTGGCTAAATAATACAACATGCAAACCTTCAAACAATATTTTAACATGCTTTTTCAGGTTAGAGGTTTGGAGAGAATTCACTCTGCTCTCGGGCTATTAATCCATTATTTTATTTTGACATGCCGCTAACCTGTCTTTTTGTACTTCATTATTTTATCTATTTAATTTATTGTACTAAGATGTGTCAAATATTTTCTTTACGTCTCTAATTTACAATAACTAAAAAAAGAAATACTATTCACCACTCGCAATTGGGTCTCAAAATGTGTGACTATAGAGGGGGGATTCAGATGCGGAGAAGTCAAAATTTGAAGAATTTGGGCACATATGCTACATTGTTTTATTAGCACACAGATGGGAAGTACGATTATTTTTCTTGAGCACAATATACTTGGTTAAACTTTAAACACGGTGTGTTCGCAGACATTTCTCCCATCAAAGTGATGAGGTACATGTTTTAGACCAAGTTTATGCTTCACATAGTTTTATAATTAAATATGAAATTTAAAAAAAAACATAAAGATTTAAATAACAGTATTGAAATTACCTCCAAATGCGGGTGTGGTAGCAGTTTTTGTGACTCCAAATGGGTTTACTTTTGCTGCTTCTGGATTTGGCTTACCACCAAGACCTGAGAACATGCCTGTAAGTAGAATATATTATTAAATACAACATGCTTTGAACTTCAATTCACTACTTTACTAAAATATAATCATGTTGCATCTGTTTTACTACAATACCGGGCTGAAAAGAGTGTGCGATTGCACGACTGGCGGTTGGAAGCAACATGAATGTCCCAGAGGCATTTTGGCAAAAAAATTCAAATATTAAGATACAAACATATCTCAATATTAATTACAGTAGGTAACATTGTGGATTAAATTTTTTATTCATGTGTAAATTTTGAATATGGTTCACAAATACCCATGTGCAGGTAAGTAGTTGAGAATATTGTACCGTGTCACAAGTAGAATTTACCAATGAAATGTTGTTATTACCCAATTAATATTTATTAGGTTAAGTTCAGTTCAGTTCAGCGTGCCTTAGCCCTGAAGAGAGCCATAGGCGTTTCTCTGTAAAGCCAATCAGTATAATCAACTTATACATCATGAGAAACTAAAGGCTAGTTAGTCAAAGTGTTGCCACTCCCTATCAACGTCCACAGTTTTTGGAGGTGGACCTAGCCTTTGGCAATTCAAGACCTCTTTGCAAGGCAGCAAGTACCCTCCCCCATATCCAAGGGCCCACTTGGTTTTATGGCGCCAATAATCCCGCCAGTCACAGAGAGGTTTATACAGTCTCTTGTCTGCATTTTGTTAGTTGGGAATGACTAACCCCAAAGACAACCTGCCTCCTCTGCCTGAATGTAGTTTAACGTCATACGTAGGACAAATTTATTAGGTACCGTATAGTAAACATGACAGAGAGTACAGCAAAAAAAAAAAATGAAATATAAAAAAAGCCAAAAAAATTAATTAAAAAGTTTATAACAGACTGACTATGTCAGCTCATTTTACATCCACATGTCAATCTGTTAATTATCACCTTAGAAACATATCACACATCCGAAAATGTATCGATGAACCTACTTGTTACCATGTGATCAGGCCTCTTATCGTCTCACGACTTATTTATGCTAATTCACCTTTATACAGTTCATCAGCTAAAGATATCCGACGTCTACTCTCACTTCAGAACAGGGCTGCCAAAATCATCTTCATCATGTCACACCTCTTTTCCAACAACTCCATTGGCTTACCGTTTCTGACTGTCTCAAATTCCAAGTTCTTCTCATTACCTATAAATTTCTACATGCCTTAGCTCCATCTTATCTCTAAGACCTTGTTTCTATTTATCAGCCTAATCATTGTCTTCGTTCTTCTTCCAATCAGTTTATACTTAAAGTGCCAAAGACAAATCTGGTCAATTTTTCTTCTCACAAGGCTTTTTATGCCGCTGCACCATCCCTATTGAACGAACTACCTAGTGAAGTTTGTCATTCTCCAAACTTGAAACAGTTGAAAACTGCTCTCACAACTCACTTTGTCAATTATCTCTTCTCTAATAGCGCTGCAAGACCATCTAAGAGCACTTTATAAATATTATTATTATTATTATAATTTATAATTTAAAGTACTGTATGTGGTAAGTTGATAACCATGGGAAGTATAAATAAGAAACCATTTAAATTACATTTCAAATAATTTTCTGTGTACCTACAGTACCATTGTTAAAAATGGACAGCAGGTAATTTGTCCTCCATGTCTCTTTACTATCACTAATATGTATTGTTAATGCTATGTACTGTAAATGAAATATTATGATTGGTCAGGAAGTATTTTCTTATTAATCTGAATCTGATATTTATATGGCATGACTGATGTTAAACAACTATTTTTGTGTATGATTGATTATATACTGTACTATGTTTTAATACTTATACAATCCTGTTTAATGTTAAGCCTGTTTTTTATCAATGACATCTCTGCTACAAGCATCTCCTTTTAATAATATAGCAGCATCTTAGCAATGACAATCTAAATAAAACTAATACTATTATAAAACTACATTAAATGAAAATAAATAACACAATTAGGATACTAAAAAAAATATCATAACAACAGGTGCTAACATTTTTCTAATTGATGTTTTGTTGATAAAAATGGCCCACTGCATAAAAAGTTTAAAAATAAAGTTAATAAATACAAAATATTACCTCCTCCTCCTCCTCCACCAATGCCACTGCCAAATATTTCACTAGCACCACCACCACTGCCGCCACCACTTGGAGCTTGTTGAGCTGAGCCAAACAAACACTTCTGACCAAATACTGAAGATTGTGCATTGCTCTGTCCAAAAGTATGGCCACTAGCATTATCTGTACTATTAAAAGCTGCACAGAATAAAAAAAATTTCAACATTTTTAAGACAGTCAAATGTATAAAATTGGTTATTTTCAGCATTTTCGATCTTTACATTTTAAACCACTAAAATACCAAAGCTGCGATCAGACTGGCTCTTCCTCTCGATCCTGTCAGGGGTTCTTGGCGAAGTACCCCATACTTCAGTTTGTCCATTTCTGCATAGCCATGTACCATCTCCCCTAATGGCCGGGCACATCGGGAAAAAAATATAAAAGGTAAAATGCAGGGAACCCCAAACTGTATGTCTAATGATAATAGACAAAAAAGTATTCATAATGTGATCTAACCTGAACCTGATGAAAATGAAAATCCTGTTTGAACTGGGTTGCCAGTTCCACAGTCATCTGTGGCACCTGCACCAGATCCAAACATCAATCCAGAAGTTGACACTTGTTTAGATTCTTCAGGTTTCTTTCCAAAAAGAGCACTGGAACCAAATGAGCTTCCTGCACCTGTTCCAGCTTCATCATTTCCTCCAGTCTTGCTTCCAAACATTGTGGAACCAAATGCAGTTGAAGTTGATCCAAAGATGGATCCGGAATTTGTGCTAGTTGGTGCTGCTGCAGCTGGTGTCTGTCCAAAAAAAGAAAAACCTGTAGATGCAGAAGTTGATGCAACACTAGTTGTGGCAGAACCGATGGTATTACTGGATGCTGCTGCAGCTGGTGTCTGTCCAAAACTAAAACCTGTAGATGCAGAAGTTGATGCAACACTAGTCGTGGCAGAACCGATGGTATTACTGGATGGGTTAGTAAACGAGAATCCACTATTTCCCGAATTTGTTTGAGTGAAATTGAAGATTGTGGTTGAAGATGTTGAAGTGGCAGAGCTTGTAGCAGGTTCATCATCAGATGCCAGTAAGCCCATGAGATTTTTATTGCTTGATGAAGTTACAGTAGCTGATGTTGGAGTAGCAAGCAAACTCTGAGAAGGAGTTGGAGTTGGTTCACTTCCTATAATAAAAAAAATCTTAAGCAAATTTAAATTTATAAAAGTTGTTTCTAAAAAGTACATCAAAAATACAAGTACACTTTATATCTTAATTTATAATATAATACTGTACCTGATGTTTTTGTTGCTGCAGAAGTTACATGAGCTTCTGAACCAATACTGAGTGCTTTACTGGGGTTGGTTGAAAGCGCGACTTCTGGTTTAACTGACGCTTCTGATGAACTAGCATTTGAGTTTTGGTCTTGGTCATTCACTTCAGCTACTAAAACAACAAAGATGCTTTAAAATTAAATACATTTCTAGACAGCCTGTCATTACTGCTGCAAACAAAAATAATTTTTGCTTAAAGATACAAACAAAAACAAAAATATATATATTTCTAACCTTGACTTGGGCTGCTCTCTTGATGTGGGAAATGTAGTTCTTGACCTTTAACAGTTACAGGCATAGCTGATCCACCAGTGGTGATGTCTAAATTACCAACAGCTGCAGCTGTCTTCCCAGTTGAAGGTAATGCTACTTTTAACAGTTCCTCAGAAGAGGGGCTTGATGACGAAGTTACTGGTTTTGATTTTAGTATAGCTGAAACAGAGAAAGATGATCCAGAGTTGTCTGGTGTTCCTGTGCTGGTGGGGCTTGGTTTATTGAAACTGAAACCAAGAGTTGAAGTATTAGAAGAACTAGGTAGATTTCCTCCAAAGCTAAAAGCAGTTGACACTGTTGAAGTTGAAGTTGTAGAGGTATTCACTGCTGAACTAGAAATTGCACTACCAGTGGAAAATAAGAAGCCTGTAGAAGTCCCAGTGGTTGCAGGAGTAACAGATGCTGTTGTAGAGGGTGCAACTGAAGGAAAAACCATTTTCTCGGAAGGTTTAGAAAGGCTGAAACCTGTTGTTGATGATTGAGATACAGCCTTCTCTTCAGAAGCAGGCTTCATGACAAGACCTTGATTAGATTTCACAGATCCTGATGTTGTAGTAACTGCACCACTGATGACAGACCCTCCGAAACCAAAACCACTGTGTGAAGTAGGTGCTACTCCAATGCTTGGAGTAGAGGCTCCACCAAAATTGAACCCACTGGGTTTACTATTGAAGCTGAAGCCAGTAGTAGATGATGCTCCAGTAGCAGTGACCGAGTTGAAGCCAAAGCTTGGTTGTGTCAATGATCCAGAAGATGCAGCTGGCAGGCTAGAACTAGAACTTGTAGTTGTTCCTGTTCTTATACCAAATCCAGAAAAGCCTGATAAAGTGGTTGACATTGTCATTGGTTTGAGAGGCTGTGAGGCTGCTGTAGTTTTTCCTGATGATGCTTGGCCTCCAGCTGATGATGTCAAACTAAACGCAGATGCATCTGGTTTGATGGTGAATGCTTTAGCGGAGGAAGCAATTGGTGCAGAAATGTTGGGAGGAGGTCCTACTGAGACGACACTAGTTGGTTGTGGCTTTGCTAGGTTTTCAAGAGATTTTGGCAAAGTGGTTGGTGAAAGCTGAGCAGCTGGACTCTAAAATTAAATATGAAGAAAAATATTTTATTCCCCACAATGTATTTTTAAATCAGTCATAAAAAATATGCTTATAAATTGGTAGTATAAAATTTTACAAACCTTCGGACCACGAGTAAACTGCTGTGTGGTTTTACCACTTGCCATGGCCATTTCAGCAATGACATCATTTAAAACCTTGGCAGTGCCAGCATTTACAGAACTGCAAGAGAATAAGAAAATGAGCACAAAATAATAATATATCTAATATAAGTTGTACAATTTAAACATTAAGAGTACTGTACCTTCCAACTGGAGCAAACGTTACTGGTGGTGGCATTGATTCCTTCATACTATCCAGTTTCCCGATGTTTACAACTGGTGGAAGGTCCTTTTGAGCGGGTGTTGTCTGACTGACCAATACAGCTGCTGCCATCTGCTGACTGTTCAAACGATTCACTGCTGCCACTCCTGCAGCCTGGCTTGGTGTCAGCTTACCTTTGGTGGATGCACCCCATTCAACAGTCACCTTGCCAGAAGTGGTCTTGATGGCTGGTGATGTAGGTTGTGGTGGTGATTTTGTTTTAGGTTTGACTGCTTCCTCCACAGGACCTACATCACATAGATAAAATTAATATCTAATATAGATGTCTTTAAATTTTATTTGTACATGACGAAATTCTTCCCCTTAGAAGAAACGGTCACTGGTGGGTTGGATGATTGATTGCTAATTGCCTGCATGCTGCCTAAACAGCCTTCACAATGAGTAAACAAGACCTTTGTAGTAGGAGAAAATCGGACACGGTTCAGCCAGTACTGCTCCAATCATGGTCAAATTTCAGAAAGCATACACAATTTCTGAATCTAATGTTATTATTTAAAATTGTGACAGGGGGTTGGATGATCGATTACCCGAGTAGGACGGGTAGCAGGACCGAATTCACTAAGGGCTGATTTTCGGCATGTAATTATGCCATCAATAAATACACAGTTATACACAGAAGTATGAAAAACAGCATTATAGCTCTAGCCTGTTAATTAAGATGCTAGATTTTCAATCTATTTGTCCTGGGCTCTTGTTGATGAGGCCATATATTGTTTAAAATAATCATTATTATGTACATACACAGTACCATATTGTCATCAATAACCATTATTATACAGTAATACATTACCTAAAGTGCCACTTGCAGCATGTACATCTGGTTTGGGTTCAACCTCTACCTTGGCAGCTGCGAATGGTTGGGGTTGTCTAGCTCTGACGTTATCTGCGACTTCCAGCTCTTTGGCGAGGTTTTGTGGCCTAACAGAAACGTTCTCATTGTCTTGGTAATCAGGGTAATTATTAGAAAACTTGTACATTTGTGTCAGGTTACCTGAAAAAGAGGTATCAAACAGTTGGCATGTCTAACCTGTTCCATAAAAGAAAACTTGCAATCTCAGAGTAGTGATTATTTTGGTACACAACATGAAATGAAAATGTTTAATCTAAATCAATCTGTTATTAACAAATGAGAATAATTCTTGGTATTTGTGGAGCAAATAGTTTTAAAATGTGATCAATTTCTTGCTGGAGCCAGACAATATAATTTAAGCCCTATTGAGAATTTAAACCTGATAAACTATAAGAATAGAAAGTACTAAGATGTTACACCACCAAAATACTTACTCTTTTTTGCTGATCTTATGGGTGTGGTACTCCTTTGTGACAAAAGATCTTTCAATTGTGACCTTTTCTTGGCTGATATGGGTGTATACATCATCGCATCACTTACTCTGGCTTTGCTCATTGATTTTGTAACTGTTGACATCTCAACATCCCTGTTAAAAACCATTATTATAATAATTTAAATAAATATTATTAACAAAGTAAAAAAACACTCTCCATTGAAAGGACCTTTTACAGTCATATCAATGTCTCATACTTTCTAAATATATTTGAAGAACATGGGCTCGTTGTGTGTACGCTCATTGTGTGTGCGCCCATGCCTTTTAGTACGCAGGAACATTTGACAATATACTTTGTAATTTATTTAGTGGTCAATATTTAACAGAATTCTTCTTCATTATCTCTTCCTTTAACTGCAAACACATTTGCTGGTTACTCTGATTTTTGCAATATCCAATGAAAACAAAAGCTTTTATGACTAACTCACAACTGTCATTTTTTTGTGCTTACTATGTAGTCTGAGACTAAAGCAGGCCTATAAAGTGTATGGCAACTAAAAACAAATGAAATGGGGCTTATAGGCATTGAACTTACTGTATGCCTCTGCTAGAGGGTGTCTTGGGGCTTGGCCAGGCACTGATATCATAGCACTGGGCCTCTAAAAGCTGCTGTTTAACCACCTTCAACTGTTCTTTTAAGTTATTGATGATGTTGTGGTGGTTGCTTAGGGTTTGATATATAGCATCCAAGGTGGGTGGTTTCATGACCCTATGGTGCAAGAACAAGAAGTGAAATGACATATGATCGGATAACAGTAACAATTCTTGTCTATTTAAAAAAAAAAACCATTATTGTATGCCTTGGCAGATATAAAAACAATAACAATATCAATAAACCAAATTAACAATACAAATATCAATAACAACAATGTCTCAGCCACAATTCAAATTGAATGGGCTAGAGTCATATTTCAACTCATTATAATATTATTTCCATTGCACAAATAAAAACATTCACTATTTGTTAAATAACTCCTTGTCATTTGATTGGTAGATTTTACATCACGTGATTTTGGGTATTTGTATTACACAATAAAGCAAAACCTACAATAAAAGTCAATTTAATATCTGACCTTTTCTTTTGACCCCTTGAGAAATTTTGCTCCTCCCAGGCAGCATCCAGACATGCATTCACATCCTTCAAGACTACGTCAAGATTATGTTGCTTGCTGCGTATCTCCCGCAGCTTCTTCATTGTGGCCGGATCAAGGGAGCGTGCCTTCAAGAAGTACACGTAACGCGGGTCGTTTTTCCTCTGCTCACGAACTTTAGCTTCCTCGATCAATGAGAACGCATTTAGTGTATCACTTTTAAGATGGTGGATGTCTTCATTAATCGACTGAAAGAATTTATAATATGCATTCTTTTATCTAAATTCAAACTTACATAGGAACACTAATATCCAAGTTATATTTTGTACAGTAGTTGTTGTCATGCTGTGTAACACAAACATCGTATGAGTCTCAAGTTACCTTGGTTACTTCAACACTTTCTTGTCTGAATTCAGTAAGCTTATTAATGGATTCCCGTAACTTTTTCTTCTCATTCTCTGTTCCAATCTCATAGTTTGATGCCATGGAACGTTGCCTATGAGCTTTTAACTCTCGGTTGAATAATTCCATCTACATATAAAAGTAACATTTGTTGTTAATTGTAGGATAAACTTAAATATTCTTTTTCAATCGATACCCATCAACTGTTTTAATAAATCTTATATTTCAATCAACATTCCACCAAACAAGGCATCAATTCATATAGAATGAAGAAATCACTAAGGTATATTATTGTTTTCAAAAAACATAAATTTCACATTACTTCCTCGTAAAACCTGGCCGAGAAGGCAGTCTGCAGTTTGTCTGGCTCTGGTGCTGTTTTAGTTGGTGGCGCAGTCACTGCACTGTCATTATTCTTTATGTCGCCAGCCAGGCCTGCACTTGGTTTAATAACTTGTGGGTCAGTTACAATAGAAGCTGTGGGTTGTACTCTGTCTTGGGTTTTGGTGGATGGCACCGCTGCAGAAGGTCTGATAATGTCGACTGTTGGTGAAGGTTTTGGCTGCGAGCCAAACAACTGAGTATTGCTTGGTGCGGTTCCAGAAAGTGGTTGCGTAACCAATATAGAAGCTCCAGGAGCAGTCACAACTTCCCCTAAACAAAAAAGTTTAATTTCTCAAGTGTTCATAATTTAAGAAATGAAGATAGTACTATCTTCATTTCACTTTTCGATTTCACTTTATTGTCATAAAACAAGCTTTGTATAACTATTTTTCAGATATATAAATGAAAATAACAATGTACTCTACTTACCCGAAGCTCCAAATTTTGGAAGCTGGCTTCCTGTAGCTTTCATTCCTTGGCTTGCTTGCTGAGTAGGCAAATTAATTCCAGTAGATCCAGAACTTGTGGTAGATGTAAGGGAAAATCCAGAAGGTTTTGTGGCTGGTTGTGAGAAAGCGGACACTGACTGAGCCTGGGTTTGTGGCTTTGGCAGTTCAGTTGGTACTTTAGGTGTGGAGAAAGAGAAAGTAGTAGAGGAACCTAAGGAGAAAGCTGATTGGCTAGCTGTTGGTAGTTGAACAGCAGCTACGGGTGCCTGATTGGTCACTCCTGGTGTAGACACCTTCTGCACTTGATTACCTGATGGTGTAAATGCAGTTTTAGACTGGCTGGTTTGCGGAGTGGAGCTACTGAAGGTATTAGAACTAGAGAATGAGAAGCCCTGACTGCTGCTTGTTGAAACCTGTCCAAAAGATAGGGTTGATTCTGTAGACTTTGGCACGAAAGAGATCCCACTACTGCTAGTAGACACAATAGAGATCCCACTACTGCTAGTTGTTGTAGTGGCTGGAGATTGTCCAAAAGGTATTGTTGGTGTTGTCGCAGATGTAAATGAGAAACTAGTATTGTTAGGTGCTTGACTTGGTGCAAAAGAGAATCCACTACCAGTACCTGTTGTTGTCTTTGTAGCAAATGAAAACCCAGTAGTGCTTGAAGTAGCAGCAGGTGTTGAGAAAGAGAAGCTGCCCAAAGAAACTGCAGCTGAACCTGAAGACACCACTGGTGTAATGCTTGAGCTAGGCTTTGTGAATGAGAAGGCTGATGAGCTTGATGCACCACCTTGTAGGCGTACACTGGCCTGTCCAGCTGCATTGCCACGTCCAGTGACAACTGTAACTGATGTTGGCTGTGGAGCTGATAGACCAGGCATAATTGGAACAACAGCATCACCACCACCAGAATCTTTGGATAAACAAAAGAAATAAATATGATAAACACAAGTAATTTCTGTAATTTCCAGAAAATAATTAATATAATTTGAAATAGTCTGTGTAATACATGTATATCAGACAAAAAATAAATCATAATAAAATCACAACCGATTTCAAGCTGACCCTATAGTCTAGGCCTAACTGTTTTATGAAAAAAACTTGATACAAACATGTTCCTGCAATTTTAAATATAGGCTTGTACAAAAAATGGTAAATTTATTGGCTAAAAAGGATTAAACTTTTCAAGAGTTCTTATTTATGTATGTAATTTGTTTATCTACTCAAATTATACTCAAATAAATGCTGTACCGAAGCCTCCATAAATTAAGTAAGCACTTTCTAGATTATTTAAGGTAATCACAATTAATACTGATAGATATATTTATAAAAACAGCCTGCTAATGTATACATCATGGCATATAAATCTCACAGAATAGGAAGGCTTACCTATTGGCTGTCTCTCTCCAGCGGGCAGGGCTTCAGGGGGCGATGTTATCACTTGACATTCTGCTTCGTATATCATGTAGAAGGGACATAGTTTACCCTCAGTTGACAGTACAATTACAATCGGGGTTGGTTTGCCACCTAAATAAAGAGAGAATCTTATTATTGAAGGAGGACAACATTTAATAGAAAAATATGACTCACCTGTCAACTTTGACGCAGGAGTGTTTCATTAAAGTTACATTAAATCATGTTGAATTTTGTTATATACTTTTAAACCCATTTATAGGTTATCAGGCACATATTAGGTAGTTTTCGCCGCATGACGTTAACCTTAACGTTAACAGATGACATAATTTATTCACCTTGCGTTGCGGAGTATGTTAATTTCAGGATCTTACGTGCTTGACGAACGAACTATAAACTGTAGGCCCAGTGTATACAATGGCTCGTGTGCACTATAAAGAACCCAGTACATCCTTCGAGGCGAGTAGGGGGATACCCCGGTGTACTGGAACAGACAGCCCCTGTGGTGGACGATGAGAGTTGCTGGTACCGGTTACCGGGTAGCACTGACACGAAGGGACCCTTAGGGGCGAAGAAAGTCATTGATCGAGTTCCTAGCCCACATTTCAAGCATCCTGAGCATCTTACATTAGATGGATTTGTGCGCTATATAAAACTACACTATTAATATTATTATTATTATTATTATTATTATTGTCTATGGAAAGCCTAATAAAATGTTACTAGCCATAAACGTGAATTCTCCAAAAATCTATTGCTGGTATATTAAAATTTCTGGTACACATTACCATGCTAAACATTGAATATATAAAAACTGACATACAGTAGTATATAACAATAAAAAAAATCAGTGCTGCATAAATACTACACATTACAGTGTGTACCCTAGAGTAATTCTATTGTTCATATATCAATACACTGCAAAAACTGTCACCATTTGTGTTGTGGTATTTAATTACTCTCATATGTTGTTCTTATATTTCATTTAATTACAGTCTGTGTTCTGTAAATGAGGGTAAACATATTTTTTTAATGTAATGTGTACATGATTTGAATTTTGGGTTTTAATCACTCCCCTATGCTGTTTAATGACTGTTAAAGTAAATCTACTGTCAGTATTCTGTTGAGCACAACTATACAAGACAACATCCAAACTTTGTATTTTTCATTGGAATCAGATTGGAAATAATAAAACCGAGAAGATACATGTTAGCCAGACATTTTTTTATGGAAAATGTTGATTGAAGTCCAAGTATGTGATGTTGATTGAACTGGTATTTTCCATGTGTAGGGACTACTGAAGCAGTGGCAGCAGCAAAAGGTCAGGGGCAACTTCCTCCTGTTGGGAACAAGCATGGGCCAACTACGTGGCTTTCGATAAAAGTCGTGATTGAGAATGCTCAACATTTGTAGTCTAAAAGCACAATTTTGCGGCGAACCTAACAGTCACATTTCCCTCCCATGAACTCCACTAAGGATTTCATCCTATGGGCTGACCAAGGCTCTAGACATCCTCTTGGTTCAGACCCCATCGGACACCGAACCTCTGTAAAATTATTAAGAGTAGGATACTCACCTGCTAATTCTGATGTGGTATCCAATGCCATTCCCAAGGGAAACGTGTCATCACTATCGGCATTCAGCGGTAACGTCAACCGTGCATCATCATTTACACTCCAAATCTCCCATTGGTTTGGGTTGTTTGGTTGCTTACCCATAAGCCCCATCTCAGGTCCATTGCTCTGCATTGCCAACAATATTCCCCTGTATCAAAAACAACACAGGATAAGTGATATTGTGAACAAACCTAATGTAATATAAGCAATTATTGTAAAGTGTTAAGGGTGCTGTTTGGAAATAAAAGCCAAAAGGGGCTTCTACATTTTAATCAGTGTACAAAATACATAAACAATGGCTTTATTGCCAATTTGGCTATTGCCTACTCCTAGCCTAGAAAAGAAATATTCTATGCGGTGCAATGTAAACAGGTTCTTTTTGCATGATCTGCAAAAATATAAGGGTTTCTGTACAATTAGTTACTGCCCATGGATAGGAAATTTTCAAATGTAAAATGATATATTGTAAATCAGATATGATTAGGTGTAGCAACACACACATACATTGTAGATTGTTTGTAGCTTGGTGGTTAAGATGCTTGTCTTCCAACCTCAGAGTTAAATCATGTGAGGCAATACCCTATTATTTGCTATATTAAAATGATAAAAAAAGCTTTTGAAACTGACCATTTATCAATACATTTGAGGTAGTACTGGCCTTGACGGTCACCATCACCCATGCAAATGTCCTCATAGTTTTTAAACATGGGATCTCCATCTTTCTGTAAGATAAACAAATAGAGGTTATGTTAATAAATGTATATGGTATTATACAATCTATATAGCAGATGATGAATAGGGAATAGCACAGTAGTAGCAATAGCAGTAATAGCAAATTTAATTACAGATTCATTAGGAATAAACGCCTCGCTTGAATAAAGGCCATGGGCATGTATTTTTTCCTTGAATAAAATCCTTCCACCACCACCCCCTCCCCCACTGTAAAAAAAAAAATGACTACACAAAACTAATGGAAGCAACATCATCTGAACACATTCTATTAATGTTCAACTTCAGTAGAATTTCATTCTTGGTTGGGATCTGTAAATCTTTACTATCATACAATAACATATTTTGATGGTAATTATATGCTGTAGTTCAACATTTACAGAGAAATGAAGGGTGTTTATTTGAGCATATATGTATCCATTTTATAGCCAAAAAAAAAACCAAAAAAACCAAAAAACCAATGCCTCCCTTGAATAAGATCCCCTCAAAAACTCTTTTAAAAAATAAACTCCCCAGGGCATTTTTGAATAAATACGGTAAGTTATATTTAATATTATATTAAATTATATTATTAAAATGTTTATAACCTTCTATAAAAGATTTACGGTATGATGATTTAGCAATCTAAAAATCAAATCTAATTGAAATTTGAGTCAAATTTCCTTAAAGGACGAATTATGTGAGAGTCTGTGCCTGAGTCTCTGAATATCCACAATCTATTTGCAAATGACAGAATGCAGAAGACATGTTTTGTACTTACTGGTGCTGAGACGATTACAATGTTGGGTTGTAAATGGCCTGCGGCATCAGCATAAGCGGCAATGAACTTGTACGTTGACTGCCAACAAACATCAACGACTGCAGGATGAATTAAGTATTGGATGAATTATTAAATTGAATTTATTTGTTGGAATCAAGTCATGAGATTTAACAACTATTTCATACAATATCAAATACAATGTAATCAATGTAATCAATGCATTAGACCAAATAAAATATTTAAAAAAATCATTTGAGTGTTTATATGTCATGATCCTTCTAAGAATTCAAAAATTGGCATAGTTTCTTTATCATGTTGGCTTTTGTAAATCCTACCCTGATACACTGAATTTTTCCTCTCCCATCGTGCAATGATTTCATTCCTAGGCCTAGATCAGTGGGCTACATAATACATGTCTGTTTCCATTTTTATTTACTGAGGTTCTTAACAAGCTTAAACATGCTTCCATAGAATCTAAGGATAAATTAGATCTTTCAGCAATCAGAAAAAAGATTAATGCACACACAATATTACATTACCTTCAAAGGGCTATATTAGTGTAAATTATACTTAATGATTGTCTTACCTGTAACTCTATCATCAAAGGTGTATGGTTTCTGAATGCATCTCTTCTCATTCAGTTGTAGATCGTACTGGACTAGCCGTCCATCACCCTTACCAACAACCAGCTGCTTACCCTTAGGACTCCAACAAACTAGAAATTCACAAACAATACAAATGGCAGACACTATGGATCTTGTCACATCTTTCGTAAACAAAACCTGTCATCATGTATGCCAATAACTTAACATCAGGATAATAGAAAGGTTAAGAGGCACTTTTCTGGTTGAAAATGATAATAATAAAACTGTATTTATATAGCGCATCATGGACCACAGATCTCTCTACGATATATTTGTATGTGGACTTAGAGTGGCTAAATGTCCAAGTGTACCGAAGTGTCTTTAGGACAATTGTCTAGGGATAACTATTCAATGGGTACTTGTCTTGGGCTTACTATACACAGAGTGCTTGTCTGGTGAATAACTGTGCCGGAATAAGTTTGCCAGAATAACATGGTATCTGTCTAGGGATAATTTTCCAAGGTGAATGTTTCAGATAAATTCTCCTCAGAACACTGGTGATAAGTGTCCAGGTTAATGTTGGCGATAAGTGTCCAGGTTAATGTTGGCGATAAGCATCCAGGTTAATGTTCAGGTATTCAAAATTATAATCTCAAAGAAGCTAAAAAGCAACTTACTAGCTTTAGAATCCTTGTCCGCCAATTTTGCAACCACTTTGATGCCAGCAGATGTCTCACACAACAGTAGACTGCCGTCGGACAGACATACAGCAAGGATCGCAATATTCTGGGGGTTCCAGCAAAGATTGGTGACACAGAGGTCCGAATCTCGACCTATCACCTGAGTAGAAACTGCAGCTGTGCCCTGCGGAATTACAGTATAATGCAATAATGGAAATTTTATTCTTTTTCCACATCAGAGAGTGCTTCATCCAAGTTACATTTTGATATATTTTTGAGTATTTATAAAGGCTTACCGATCGGACCAGAACTCTGACATCATACAAAGCAAGAATGAGTGCTGCATCCTTCCTGTAACATACAGACAGTGTGAGGCCATCAGCACTGAGAGACAAATGCTGGGGCATACAGCCCAACTGCAGAGTGACATGTGGGTAGTCTGTCACTGCAATGTAACAAAACACATGGTGGGGTTCAGTCAGTTTATTAATGATAATTAGTATTTTATCAAAAAGATGTTATAAGTCATTAAGCCTATATTTGTTGATTTCAGTTTAGCCTATTCCAGCTCAGGGAATATTAAGCGATTTTCATCCATTATTCCATGTTTGTTCAAAAAGCAAAATCTTGAGCTATTTAACACTCTGACCACCAGGGGTTTGAAAAAATAGTATCAGCCACGAGCCAGACATTTTAACGAATTTTAACACTTTTCCAAAGCTCGTTGAGAGTGTGCATGTGATGAAATTAAAATGTAGTGAATACTACAAGAACTACAAACATCTTAAATTTACAATGGTACCAAACACTTTATTCTAATCACAATCTGTGACCAGAAACAGTAAAATGAAAATGACAAACTTTTGGAGATTTACGCAATTTAGCACAACGAAGCTGAGATAATCGCAATTTTGTGAAAGTACATCAATACCGCTATGCCCAATGTCAACAAACAAATAGTGAAATACTTATGGTCCAGACTGAACATAGTGTTCAAATTGTTAGTACATGTCGGTATAAAAACTTGAAACATGGAGATCTCCGTGTTTGGCAGTCAAGCGTTGTGCTACCAAACACTGAGATCTCCTTGTTTGGCAGGCAGAGGGTTAATGTTTTCGAGATTGAATTTATAATAATTCAATAAAATAGCTTTAAATATGGTTCTAGTTTTATATAGTTTAATAATAGATAATGTACCTTTATAGAAAGAAATTAGTATTTTGTTTTAATTGGATGCTATATGTTGGCAATTTCTGAGGATATAATATACTGGAGGTCTTGGCTTTAAATTGTAACTTAAGCTCATTTTCCATAAAATCGCTCACCCTATCTGTGACAGACGCCGACAACCATCAGAAAGGTTGAACCTGGTTCAACTTTGCCGATTGCGTTACTCTCATCTGTCCAAAGCAGGGGCTGAATGGACCAGAACACAGGGGTAAACCCTACTCATCTTGAAAGTTATACTGAATTCTTTAAAAAAACTCAGTATATGTGCCAAATCATGTACACTGGGCCTACAGTTTAGTCCTGTATAGTCCTTATCCGAGAAGACTTGTTCCACCACCAGAACCATTATGGTTCATACCATTCGCCTATGATAGGCGAACATGCCGTTCGATCCAACACCAGTACTATAGCTGTAAGTCATGGCACCCTGCCTTAACCACTCGGCCAATTATTATTATAATTCATAAAACATATAAATTATTTTCATAACATTTGTACTTTACTTCAAATTCTTATTATATTGTTTTGTTTGTATTCTGATGATAAGTACAGTACAATACATTTTTTTCAAACAAGTTTATATATGTACTGCAAGTTGTAATTATCTTATTTAAAATCGTTTGTATATCTACCTGTTTCTTTTTGTTTGTCAAATGTAGTATTTAACCGAGTCAATTCAGCTGTCTTCAGGATTTTTATTCCTTTTAAAAAACATAATAGCAATAATTAACAAGAATAAACACTATTGTACAATAAGCTGTAATTAAAGAAACCATAACACATAAAAATATCAGTAATATTAAATAGGAAAACCAAGAGTGAAACGTGAACAAAAAATTATGCACATGACAATGATATTGATGGCTGCAACAATGGAGAATAATATGAGAAATAAAACAGTTTCCATTGAAAACATTGAGTTGCTTTACTATAAGGTATAAAAAATTAAGAAAATAAATTTTAAAATCTTACATATTTACAAAAGTCAATATATACTGTATTTATTAGAAAATCAATTATTATCACGAAGTTCAAGTTGTTATCAAAGCCCATCTTCACCTAGAAAACAGACTAAAATTTGAAGAATACTGAATTTGATTTAATTTCAATATGACAAAGTGCTGTACAGGGGTGCAAAGAGAGTCTACAGTAAATTGCAAGAGCCTTCTGGAAATTAGCAATAGTCTCCCAAAATCATGCAAGCAAAAATCTTCTGAAAAAAAAACTCATCTCCTGTAAAATGGACCCCTCTGTCTCACTCCTATTAGGTCCCATAAAACATACTAGCCTGGTTCTCACGAGAGCCCTAGTATCCGGATCGGGAGCTAACCGTTAGCACCTGCGTGAGAACGCCCGATCGGTTAGCGCTAACGGTTAGCAAGCGCTATCGGTTAGCAAGTTGAGGGCGTTTCTATCATCAACCAATCACACGTACGCGTTTACAATTTCAGTTCCTTATTGGCCAGTGATTCGATCATCATATCGTTGGTATCCGGATCGGGATTTCCTCGCATGGACGCACGACAGCTAACGGTCGCAGTTGTGGGACAAGACATGTGTTTGTGAGATGTTCTGATTTGTCAGATCTCTAGGAAGTGGCTTCTCTGAACTTATTTGAAACCCTGTGAGGTAGACCTTCACTAAGAGTATTTTACCTTTGTCATATCCAATGTAAAGGTACCCATATTTGTTGCATGCAACCACAAGATTGTACCGTTCAAGAGGAACTGGTTCTTCTGTTTTAATATTACAGATCTGTAATTTGCACATTTCCTTAAACTTCAGGTCCTAATAGAAAGAAAAAGGATGTATTGTAAAATGTGTATTTTTGAGCTATAATTCATTTTTTTTTTTAAACTTTTTATGTTTAAACTATTGTGTGTGTGAAAAATACAAACGCTGTAAAGATCAATATTTTCACCTTATATTTTGAATAATTTCAACAGACTTTTGAATACAGTAATTTCAACATACTCTGAACTTAAGGTATCATATGCTGGCACAAATTACTTACGAAGTTCTATTGTACAATACATAACAGACAGTCAATAAAAGAAGATTTCATAATTTCCTCTTTTTAAAATTTTCTAAGTATTTTATGGACCAAAAGTTATTGAATCTTGAATTTTAATTAACAACTTTCATGACCATTTGAATTAAGCATATACAATTGTTGAAGTGATATTGATATGTTTTACAATCTAAAACCAATAGATTTTCTATTTTATGAATAT